ATTAAATTCAGTGGTCTGGTCTGGTCTGTTATTTTTTAAAGATTTATTTATTATTTACGCATTGAAGAAATGGGGTGTAGGCTAGAGGTGCGGGGGGGTGTGTGTGAGAGAGAGGGAGCAGAACAGGCAGACTGACTGAAATACACTGCTGAGGGGAGCAGCGGGTGACAGGAGACGTCTGCTGCACCATGTGGGTAGCTCCCTGGCCGGGGATTGAACTCTTGCTGCAGTGGCTGCGGATAGACTCATAGGTTGTGTCTTGACCCCTTGTGCCACCAGGGAGGCCCCATGAGTTCATTTTTATTCCTTTGTTTTAGATTCCCCACACAAGTGACATTATACAGTATTTGTCTTTTATGTGTGTGTGTGTGTGTGTGTGTGTGTGTGTGTGTGTGTATCTATCAAACCTCCTTTATTCACCCATCAGTGGACACTGCGTTGTTTCCACAGCCTGGCTATCATAAACAGTCACGAATGAGCATGTGGGCAGATAGATTTTTAAGTTAGTGTTTTCACTTTCCATGGATAAATACCCAGAAGTGGAGTTACTACCTCACGTGCTAGTTTTATCTCTGATTTCTCAAGGCATCTGCTCCCTCTTCTGCAATGGTTCCTGCCAACTGTCCACAAGAGTTCCTTCTTTCTCTACTCTCACCAACACTTTCCCTTTCTTGTCTTTTGGATGCTAGCCACCCTCACAGATGTGAGGTGAGATCTCATTGTGGTTTTGCTCTGCATTTCCCTGGAGAGCCACAGGACTGCGAGCACCTCTTCACGTGCCTGTTGGCCATCTGTATGTCTTGGGAAAATGTGGATCTTCTGCCCATTTTCTGCCCTTTTTTTAAAATTGGATTGTTTTCTGCTTTTAGCAGGGGTGGAATTTGCTTCCACAACAATGAATGCTGAATCACTATTGAGCTGCAATGATACCTTAATACACCCCTTAGCTAAACAGCTTGGTCGGGCTGCAGGTCACCTCCTATTCCATCGCTATTTTACTTTCATTACAGTACTGACTGACACCTAATGCTGTCCTGCTTTCTTTCTTTGTTTACATGTTTAGGACCTCTCTGTCCTAGCAGCACGGAAGATCCATCAGAGCAGGGGTCAGTGCCAGTCAAATACCTATCCTCCAAAAACATTCATTCAAATGAACAAATAAAACTCTGCAAATAGTTGTTGAACTTACTGTCCATTAGAGCAGGTTGGCGGAAAGCCAAGTCTTACCAAGGACAATAGAGTCCCAAAAAGGTGACAAGTCACGACTCACTTTATTATGAGAAAACCCACCACAGCTCAATAGAACAGTTGGTGGTTTTAAACGCCAATATCAAAACCATTTAATGGATGGACTTTCCAGATAAATCTTAAAAGGAAAGGGGACAGATATTCCAGGTGACAGGGACAAAAGGAAGAGGATAGATGGTAACACATGAGAAGCAGGTCCTGTTGGCCAGGATCACAGCTGAGTCTACACAGGAGGAGGGAAAGAGGAGGAGACTGGAGTGGGGAGGCCAGGTCACGCTGCAAAGAATCCTGCATGTCAGGCTGGGAAACAAGTCAATTTGATGGGCAATTTGTGAGCAATGAAAAGTTTTTATCGTTGATCAGGAACTTTGTTATGTGGAAAGGCAAAGCTCGAGAGGCTGCCCACAGCCATGCCAGGAAAAGCCACCCCTTATGGAAGGCTTATTAAGGGCTGGGCATTCAGTAATTGACTTGCACCCCTTATCTGGCTTGATTCTTAAGGCAGCCCAATTTGATTACCCCAATTTCACACTTAGACATGGAGGCGGAGGGAAGTTCACCAAAGCATGAAGTGGCAAAAACGGATCTGGGACTCAGGGTGTTACACAGAAAATGGGCGTTCACAGGTTTTCTGACAATAGGTTCAGGGCAAGGAAAATGAGGCCATGAGTGAGAAAAGGAAATATCACTCGTAGCATGAGTATTTGGACCAGGTACTTGGGAAGCACTTTCACAGAATTCAACTATTACAACAACTTTGCCATAGAAATGCCATGGAGATTTGCTCAAGGGAAGCAGGCTAGAGGGAAGGCAGGTAGGCTGCTGCTTGTTCTGATGAGGGCGGATTGAGAGGCAAAGCAGATTGGGGCTTTCTGCGCATCTAACTGGTAGACCACCGTGCAGCAGCCTTAACCTCTTTTCTGCAAAAAGAGAACTGGTTTCCAGTTTGTTGGATGAACAGTGCAGATTGTTTGGTATCTACAACCACCAGCTCCAAAGGGCAATCCTCTCCCATGGGCTCTCAGGTAAAAGCGGAAGTGAAATAAAAGCATGATTATAACAATATCCAGGATCTCTTTTAGTTGAACTCTTTCAGCTGAACCACTGTATAGGTCAAATTAGTTTACGTTCAGCAATTTCATCAAGTTCGTACTAGATCTTTTGGATTTATGAAAGACAAGAGTACCTTTTACACCCGATTTATGTGCTTCCTCCCAGCCCACCCGAGCTTCCTTCTCCAGTTCCGCGGTCTGGTTTCCATGCTGTCAAGCTACACTCAAGCCGTCAACCTCACTCCCTACAACCACCCCACGACAACCTCAGTCAGCCTGGGCTGAGTCTCCTCTCAGCTACTGATGCTCACCAAACCCCATGTTTTAACAGCGCCACAAGACACAGGGCTGACCCCTAGAGCTCAGCTTGTCCAGCTGAGACCTGCTGTAGCGTCTTCTGCTTTGACAAATGGCACGGAGGTGACTAGAGCAGTGTGGCTCTGGTCTCAGGAGCTGCCACTGGAGTGAGTTCTAATCCCAAAGCAGTCACACACTAGCTGTGGAGCAGAGGGGAGCCTCAGTTTCCTCCACTATGAAATAACAATTATAATGCATTCCTGTCAGGATTATCAGGAGGATTTATGAAACAAGGTATGTGAAGGTTGCCAGGTAATACCTGCTTTGAAAAACCAAACATTTACCCATGCACTGGAGCAAATCTGAGTTGACAAGTTCTCAAAGACAAGCCTATATCCTCTCCCACTCTGGTCCCTTGGAGAGATTGGAGAGAGGTTATCTCCTCCAAGCAAGAAGACTGATCGGGCTTCTCTCTGTAACAGACGGCCTGCTGGGGACCTGCTTCTCGACACACCCGGCTGCCTCCTGTGACAGTGACACCGAGTGCCAGCACCCGGGAACTGTTGATCAACAAACGCCAGCTCAGATCTGATCTTCAGGGGAGATACTGTCAGCATTCTGGATTCCCCCGGGTACAGTGAATTCTGGCCTGCGGATCACTGGGGGGGCCTCCAGCCCATGGTTGTTTGCCCCTGTGTTAAAGTCTTTCTTTCACATAAACTGACTTTCACCCAAAGGTTGTTAGGTATTTGGTCCAAGATCTTGGATTGTACTTAATTTATTGCCCGAAAAATCATCTTGTTGTCTTGAGCAGTCATTAGACATCTGACTTTCTTTTCCCATCATAAGATGACAAGAACTCCCTGATGTTCTTGTGTTTCTTCTTTTTCCCTGGGTGACAGAGAGGCAGGGAACAACACTGCTGAATAACCTCAGCTTACCGTGAAGGTCTCGCTGGCATGGGGGACATGCAGTAAATAATATTCTCTTGGTACTGCCTTCCAAATAAAGCCCCAGTTCTCCTGGTTTATCCAACTATGAACTCTCAAGGTCCTTGCCTCTCTCAACTTTCCACTGCATGGCGATTTTCCTTCCTGGGTCACAATAATCCACCCCCAAGCACTGGCTCTATTGCATCCTACCTGTATTTTGCATGTACATCTGCCAACCCCAAAGGACTATAATTTGAACAGACTGGGGTATTTACAAGCGGTTCTGTCCACCAGTCGTTGGACACAGCCCTCCTGTCTTCTTGCCTATCTCCTGCATGCCAGGCATGCTCCAGTCCTTAGTCATGGCTGGGTGGCTTGACCCAGGAACACCCTGACCCCTGTCCCCCAGTTGTGCATATGGGCTGCTTAAAACCAGTACACCCTGGGCCTCCCTGGTGGCACAAGGGGTTAAGCAATGCACAATGAAGCAATCCGCAGCCACTGCAGCACGAGTTCGATTCCCAGGCAGGGAGCAACTCACATGGCATGGCAGACCTCTCCTATCTCATCCGCTGCTCCCCTCAGCAGTGTATTTCAGTCAATCTGCCTGTTCTGTTCTCCACTCTGTATCTGGTGAATCCTCTCACCCCCTGCATCTCTAGCCTGTACCCCAGCTCTTTTATGCATAAATAAATAAATCTTTAAAAAAAAAAAGAAATGTGATCTTAGTTTCATTTCAAATAAATGCTTGTGAAAATACTTGCCTTAACCCACAGCACTTAAAATTCTGGCTGATTTCTATTGACTGTGGACTCTGCAAAGGGCTGTGACTCTTGTTACAATGAAACATGGACACTGTGTCTGGAAATACGAGGACTTTCATCTCACCTTTAGGTTATAGTGAGCAGGGAACCAACAATGTTCCCCGAATTTCTCTCTCCAATCTGCTTTTCTTCTGGTCTTAAGAACAGAGGAAATGCAGTGGTCAGAGCTACACCAACTCTTCACATGCTTTTCTTGTGCGCAGTGTTCATCAAGCTGGTGCTAAGTGAGTCTATAGGGACAGGTAAGGAAGTACAAAAGGCACATCATCCATCACCATAATAGTATATAATTTCATCCACTGACTTTATCCGCTTATCTATTTATTCAAATAGCACCTCTGACTTGTTTCTCTGCCCAGACAACATAAATGACTGGGTGGGACTTTTGTCAAATTGTGAGAATGAACTCAAACAGGGAAATAGGTCCTCATGCAGTCTGGGCTGAGAACAGGTGGTTATAGGAACAGACAGGATGTATCCCAGGAGACCCAGTGCTCCCTGAATAGTGGT